GGCCTCCCAGCTGCAGCTGCGCCTGGACCTGCGGGGAGGGGAGGAGGAGGGGGGTGCGGATCCGGAAGGTTAGGACCCTGCCCAGATGGAATCCACGGGCTGCCTGCCTCTCTCCTTCTCTCCCCTGGAGCCACCCCCCATGCCCCAGCCCTGGGACCCCCCCTACTCCTCTGGGGGACTCGGGGCTGTCGTCTCCTCACCATGTCCGTCCCACCCTGAACTGGGGAACCCACCAGATCTCCGCGCCTCCCCCCCCACCCCCGTTCTAAGCGATACCCACCCTCATGTCCTTTCCAACATTTGGGGTGTCTACAGCTGGGGCCTCCCCTCCTCACCAGAGCCCCCGAATTCTCTCCTTGACCTCACAGGAGTCCCAGAATCAGGCCCCACTGGGTTTGGGCAGAGAGCAGAGGTCTCCCCCCTCCACACACACACATACACCCGTTCCCAGGGACCTCCCAAATTCGTGGGGCGCACAGCCAAATCCTCGGGCTAATTTCATCAGGGCCTCGTGGCTGACCCCACGCCGGGGTACCAGGGAGGCTGAAGGGCCACCCTGTCTGTTCTGGGGAAGAGGAGCTGAGCTGTGAGAGGCCCAGGCAAGGGGGGGCTTGAACCCCCATGTCTGTGCACCCCACGCCCAGCACCGTGGCCCTGGACTCCCTTCGGGCCTTGGGCACGTTAAGCCTGAAACCACGCAACTCGTCGCTCCCCCCCTCATTGGTCTCCCAGGTGTCTCGTTACACGTCCCCTAATACCCAGACCTCTGCCCCTGCCCCCAAGCCAACACTGGTCCCCATATAACCTTGGGCCCGCCCTTTGGGGCAAAACAGCTTTGCGTCGTCGTGGCCATGCGCCCGTCCCTCCCGCGTGCGCCCTTCCAGGGTGCCAAGTTGGTTTTGCGCGCGCACGCAAGGTAGGGCGCGGGGTTGGGGGCCTCTGCGCGCTCAGGACACCTCCACCATATACCCAGCTCTGGTCCCGAACCGGGCGTGGCCCTTTGGACACTGGGACCCCACGCGCCTTGCCACCCCGTGGCCGCTCCCTGTCCACGCAGGACGGGCTGCGCTCTGCGCGCTCCGGACCGTGTTCG